CTACAAGTCTTCTATCACTATAGGGGGAAAAAAATACACCAAAAACACTTTTTCTTCCAGAACTTTATAAGAAGATATTTCTCAAGGTTTTCTTCTTTTAACTCTGACATAATCCCAGAATGACTGAGATAGGCTCCTGATTATTTACAGAACATTTCCTTAAGAGGAAGCAGGCACATTGCAAACACAGATACAGAGAGTAACTTAGAAGAATTTTGGCTGATGATTATTTTTTCCTCTTCTTGAGCCTAGGGTCTGGATATTTTAGATTTGCTTGAAAAAATAATTCACTTTTAAGGCTATTAGGGATTCCACTTAACACTTTGTAATTTAGGACTGGCAAAAAATTGTGTTGGATAGATTACTATCTGACAATCTTTAAATTTGACTAGCTGTTGAGATCACACTGGGGAAAAAAATCTAGCCCGAAATTAGTTTTTTAAATAGTTCATAATTTGCTTTAAAGAAGGTAAAATTAAATTGGTATAAGGATTTTAATATCATTGGTCTGGTTGAGAGTGGCTCTGTTAGTATTTTTGTAGTAGATACGGCTTCCCCTTGTCCCTGCCCCTACCTCCCTTTCCAAGACCCTCCCTTCCCCAAGTCAGTACATCCGTAAACTGCCCTTTTGGCAGACTGCTCTCAAAGGCCTTGTGGCAGGAAAAATTCTCTTGGATTTTGTCCTTTCCATTCCATAGATCTGTTCTACTGAATGATCTGTGATTCTGTTCCCAAATCATTATTGGCAGATAACTGGAGTTTAGAAAGATTTATTGTTTTTAATTTAAAGTATTGTATTCCGACCGAGGACTACAAAGTAGAATCTTTGATGGGCCTCTTTCTTAAACCCCAAGCACGTGAGCACCGTCACACAGTCGGGGAACTCCTATGTTTTTTCCAAATTTTCTCCCAGGACATTTCAAACATGTTTCAAACATTTTCTCCCAGGACGTGTTAAGAAATGCTTCCTTGACGTCCAGCAGGGGCTCGTAAGAATCTAGAATTCCCTTTAGGCACTTTCAGTTTTTAAAATCCGGGGAGATTTTGATCACTCCTTTACATAATTGATCACTGAAGCTGAACTCTGATACATGATCCAGAGATCATCAGAACATCTGTAATGTGTGTTTTGCACGTCAACTAACAAAAGCATCTGACTTTCTCCTGAGGCTCATGGGCTCTGATGGAACATACGTGCTGTGGCAGACAGCGCCCGTGTGCACAATGTGGCTTTCCCTCTAACGTACACAATCTGTGTCTCGTAGGACTGCTGTCCCTGCCTACAATCTGGACAGTCGAGTTCTTCCTTCTCAGTGATTGACATCAAGGGAAAACACTGTCCTTGCCATGTCACTTTACATTTCATATGCACTGCGTCTTAGAGAAAAAATACACATCACGTTCCATGGGTGGCAAGTCCTGCAGAAACTGTGTGTGTGTGTGTGTGTGTGAATCACTTAGCCTTTCTGATCCTGTTTTCTCTTCTATGAATAATATCATTTTCATAGACTTCAAGATATCATTGACTTGAAGGTGCATCATTATTTTAGTTATCACTGAGAAAGAAATACAATGATGCTAAACTATGACACAATTCTTTTTATCACTTAGAATTATTATTTATTTTTGCTAGTTGAAAGAGTTCTTTTAGACTTAGATATAGATTTTTCTCATATTTTACTCTTGCATATAGAAAAAGGAAAATACAAGCCAAATAATTAATTAAGGTGTTCCTAAAATTTCTTTAGAGGCCAGCTTCTCAGATTCAGTTTTGAATGAACATGCCCGTGGATGCTGATACAGCATGTTCAAAAAGACTGCTTTCCTATTGTCATCATACGTTTTCCCCCAAGCTTCTGACACCTATTTACAAGTTTTAATGTTATGGCTTTTTTCATCTTACCAAAAGGTATCAACAGAAGGGTTTTAGACAACGATTACAACTCAAGTGGTCCTGAAATGACACGGGTTTAGAGTTTTCTAGTCTTGCCACAAGAAATAACTAAAAGTTTGTCTACAGTCAATGGCAGTTGCATCATGACTCCTGTCTGGCCAACAAAGATTGCAAGATACTCTCCAATTTCAGAGATGTTCAAATGTGAAATATGTGTTTCTTAGAATCAAAATTTTGATTTAAAAACCTAAATGAGGTAGTTGTGAGTTTGTAAAATGACTTAGTAAATTTTACACATCATGCCTACGTAATACATCTTTATTTAGGTATTCCTGTGTTTGTGGAATAATAAGAGAGGTTGCCATGGAGAACATTATGCCTGCTAGGTTTTAGAAGAAAAATGTCAGACTCAGAGTGCAAGGCAGCTCCTTAGGGGACGTTATTTTTAGAGGTCAAGTGGTCACATTGCCCCCCAAATATCCCTTATATTCCTGCCAGAGTCCCTGAAATTCCAAAGTATTTGAATTCTTTTCGAGAAGATGCATGTTAAAAACATGGTCTGGAAACTGGGATTTATTAATCTATTACTAGTCAATAACACCTCGGGTTAAGGTTGTTTCTCAGAATAATTGTGGAATCGACAGCCTAGTTAGAAACTAATCCATAGAGATGTAATAAGAAGAGAATAATTGCAAAGTAATAGATGTACAAAGTGGCAGAGTGTGACACAAAGCAAATATATAAATGCTGTACATATTAACAAGATTACAACCTGACTGTACCCTATAAATGAACATCTCAACTGACCTTAAAGGTCTTGAGATGGATAACTGATTCTGGAAGTGTTTTCCATATCAATTAATTCATATCTTCAGAAGATTTAAAAAAATAATTACATGGGGCCAGCCCTGTGGCACAGCAGTTTAGTTCACACATTCCACTTTGGCAGCCCAAGGTTCACCAGTTCAGATCCCGGGTGCGGACCTATGCACTGCTTGTCAAGACATGTTGTGGCAGGTGTCCCACATATAAAGTAGAGGAAGATGGGCATGGGCCAGTCTTCCTCAGCCAAAAAAAAAAAAAAAGGAGGATTGGTGGCAGATGTTAGCTCAGGGCTAATCTTCCTCAAAAAAAAAATAATAATAATTATGTGTTCTTTAAAAATGGGGCTATTGTCACATAGTGGATAAAGAGTAGGCAACTTCCTGAGTGTGAATTTTGGAAATTTCCTAAACCTGTTTTATCCCTCACCTTCCCCATCCACAGTGGAGGTGATAACCATACCCTCCTGTATCTGTGAGTGTGCCTTTACTTTGTTCTCTAGTGGCTTCCTCATGGTTGCCAAATGGATTCTGCAGTTTCTGGCATCACATCTAGACATAACAACATTCAATGCCAGAAGGTAGGATGTTTCTTCAATTTTGCTTTAAGGGAGAGAAAACATTTCCCAGATGCCTTGTGGTTCATTGGCCAGAACTGATTCACGTGCTCTTCCTTAACTCATCATTGGCAAAGGGAGAGGCTTTATTGTGATCACCTTACCAATGAGGATTCACTCCTGAGTGACTTGCAAGGGACGGAGGCCTGTAATAAATAGGAATTCTGTCAACAAAGAAGTAAGTGGGAATGGCTATAAACTGGGCCAACTAACACTTCTGCTGTACTATCCCATGGGGTTATTAGAAAGCTAAATGATATAATTCCTATGAAGTACTTAGTAATAGTGACGACAGTGACAAACACTTCTATGACACTTGCTGTGTGCAATACATTGTTCTCTGCATACAGCTTTACATATACAGCAATCCTCACAAAACCCCCATAAGGCCTTTGTATTATTGTTATCTCCATTTTACAGATGTGGAAACAGGGCACAGAGAGGTGAAGTAACTTGCCCAAAGTTTCACGGCTTGTAGAAGGCTGTGCTGGAATAAGAATCCTGCAGTCTGTTCCTGGAGCACAGGTGCTTAACCGTACTCCTGGAAAATAAATAAGGGCTCGACCCCTGTTAGCCCTTACTATCATCTCTGCTGATCTACATTCCTCAAGCAACATTTACAGATTTTTTTTCTTGTTTTGTCCTTTGAAGATGGAAAGATGCATTTAAAAAAATGTAATAGAAGGGATTTGAATAGAAATTTAACAGAAGTGTTTTTCAAACTTTATATCATGACCTATTAGTGGGTCATAAAATCTATTTAATGAGTCATGACCAGTAGTTAAAAAAATAAGATCTAACGCAATAGGGTAGGGTAATGTAAGTTGTCAAGTAAAATGTATTTCTTATTTTAGTTATGGTCAAAGAGTTGTAAAAACCTACTCTAAAATCTTGCTGCTCAGAGTGTGAACCAGGAGAATTGCAGTGTCTGGGAGCTCCTCAGAAATGCAAAACTCAGGCTCTACCCTAGAGCTGCATGAGTCAGAATCTGCATTTTATGTACACACACACATACACACCTTATGCACACACACATTTCCAGGCTGTCTTGAAAAAAAATTGGAAAATCGGACAACACAAGGCTATTGTTTCTATAGGGCAAGAATCAGCTGGAGCTGAGCAGCCCCTGGGAACGCTGGACAGAGCAGCAGTCCTCAGTTCTCTCCTCTCCCCACTGCGCACCATTCACTCACACATGGTACCTGCCTGGTCACTGAAAGCATTTGAGTTTGTGACCTCTGGGCCACATTATCCCGGTTTTAAACTTTTCTTCATAGATCTTAATCATTGGTCATTAGATCCTCTTTGGACTTTCCTACTGAAAAGGATTTTTAAAAAATTAGGCTTCTGACCCCCGAATTGGCAACCAAGCTTAACTAAAATAACAAAAATATATGGCTCTGGACCTCCTGCTGCTGGCAATTGGCTTCCTCAGTCTTTACACTGCTGATTCCCATTCTGCTGCTAGAAAAGTGGGACCCAGGCTTTTGCTAATGGTCTTACAATTATTCCTCAATTCTTCTTAGAGATGTTTTGGTCCTCCTGTAAACACATGCCCTTGCATGGCCTCTTCAAATGTTCATTCTGTTGTTCTATTTATTCGATCAGAGACTTTAGTTTGTTGTTCTGAGAGGAAAAATTAATGTAATTTCAATTTTGTGTTCTCAGAGTAAAGTGCCTCAGGCTGCGGATGGACCAGCCCTCACGGAGATCCAGCACTGGAGAGTAGGGACAAATGTCCTTACAAAGCCTTTGGGGTATGAATTGGGTCAAAGTGAGACACGAAGAGTGAGAAGTTCTAAATTTTCTCGTGTGAATGATAATTTCCTCGTTGTAATGGGCTTAGTTCTCCCTTCTATAAGAAAGATGTTTCTTGATGCAAGTAATTGAAGGCCAGACTCAAACCGGCAATCAAGGAAATTTACTAGCTCACCCAGCCAAAAACTGCAGGAGAAGGTCAGGCTTCAGGGGTAATCAGATCAAGGTTCCAGCTCTACTGCTCTTTCAAGTGTCTCAACTCTGCCCTTCTCTTTGTATCTGCTTCATTTTTATCCTGGTCTCCTACACAGTAAATAAACAGCTGAAGTAGTTCACCATACAACAACTTCCTGTGGAAGAAAGAATATCTGTCCTGACAACTCTTTGCTGAGAGCAAAGAAGTTTCACAGAAGTCCTCACAAGTCTTCTTTTATCCCTCTGGTCAGCGTTGGGTCATTTGCCCATCCCTGAATGATTCACTGTGGCCAAGGTAACAAGACTAAGCTAACCAGGGCTTACTCTATTAGCTCATCCGTACCTTGTGGCTAAAAGGTGTGGGGTAGGGAAAACTATCACCATGAAGGAGGGGTGGAAAGCTGGATGGAGACACCTGCTTTAGAAGTTTTACAGCCAGGAAGAACCTCATTAATTACAATCATCCTCAGTTGCTACTTTACACGTAGGAAAAAAAAAGACTTCATACGGTAACCCTTCTTCTCTTTTCTTCATAAGGATGAAAACTTAATTGTAAAAGGATGAGGGAGGCGGTACTGCTAACACCATCTTCTCTCAGTGCCTGTCTTAGCGCAGGCTGCCGTAAAGAAACACGACGGACTGGGAAGCTTAAAAACCGGAAACTGATTTTCTCACTGTCTGGAGGCTAGGAAGTCCAAGATCAGGGTGCCAGTATGATTGGGTTCTAAGAGAGCTCTCTTCCAGGCTTGCAGGTGGCTGGGTTTTTTTGCTGTGTCCTCATGTGGCGCAGAGAGAGAGAGAGAGACACCAATAGACAGGGAGAGATCTCTCATCCTCTTCTTATAAGGTCATAGGCCTATCAGATTAGGGCCCAACCCTTGTGTCCTCATTAATCCTTAGTTCCCTTCTAAAGACCCTATCTTCAGATAGCTACATTAGGCATTAGAGCTTCAACAGATGAATTGCTGGGGTGGGGGTGGAAGTAGGGGTGGGGGTTTGGGGCAGGGGGTTACATTTAATACATCACAGTGCCCAAATGTTAATCATTGCCTGAGTATTTTTTGAGTATCTGTCCTGTACTCAGGCTGGACCAGGCACTGTGATAGCTAGAAGTGGTGTAGGGTGGGATGAAATACTCACTGGGCAGGCAAGACCAGCCGACTGGAAACCGGAACAAACACTGTGAGGAAGAATAAAACCTCAGGGAACTCCAGAGTGGCAGGATCAATGAGGGTTGGAATGGTCCAAAACACTTTGTAGAGGAATTGAGGCCTAAACTGGGATTTTGGAATGGGTGGAAGGAACTAAGTGTGGGACAGGATAAAAACCTAGACCAGGAGGGTAGCAATGAGAATAGAGTGAAAGGGCCAGGTACCACAGAGTCCTTCAGAGAAGACTGAGAAAACTTCATAGCTGATTGGCATGCAGAGGACTTCATAATGGAAGCATGGAGTGAATGAGTGAGGAGAGTGGTTCTTTTTTTTTTTTTAAATTATTTTATTGAGGTCATATTGGCTTATAACATTGTGTAAATTTCAGGTGTACGTTATTATATATCATTCTCTGTGTAGACTGCATCGTGTTCACCACCAATAGTCTAGTTTTTATCCGTCACCATACGTAAATGCCCATTTACACTTTTCACCCTCCCCTCACTGGTAGCCACTAATCTGTTCTCCTCGTCTAGGAGTTTGTTTATCTTTCACATATGAGTGAAATCATACAGTGTTTGTCTTTGTCTGGCTTATTTTGCTTAGGATAATACCCTCGAGGTCCATCCATGTTGTCGCAAATGGCATGATTTTGTCTTTTTTATGGCTGAGTCATATTCCGTTGTCTATACCACATCTTATTTATCCATTCATCCTTTGATGGGCACTTGGGTTTCTTCCACATCTTGGCTATTGTGAATAATGCTGCGATAAACATAGCGATGCATAAGTTTCTTTGAATTGTTGACTTCATGTTTTTGGGATAAATACCTAGCAGTGGGATAGCTGGATCATATGGTATTTCTATTTTTAATTTTTTGAGAAGTCTCCATACTGTTTTCCATAGTACCTGCACCAGTTTGCATTCCCACCACCAGTGTATGAGGTGTCCCTTTTCTCCACAGCCTCTCCAACACTTGTTATTTCTTGCTTTGTTAATTATAGCCATTCTGGGGAGAGTGGTTCTTTTAACAGAGATCAGAAATTCCAGAAGGAGAGAAGGTATGGGGGTGGGTTAGTTACATGTGGAAGGATGAGGAGTTCATTTTAGAAATATGAGTTTTTAGAAACTGGAGAATTTACTAAGTAAAATATCTGTAATGTCATTGAGAGTAAGAGCAAAGAGAGGCGAAAAAGTAGGATGGGAGATAATGAATATTTGAATCATTATCATAAGGTTGATAATTGAAGCTAAGGAAATGAATGATCTCTTTGAGAAAATATGTAGAGAGAGGTGTGGAAAGAAAAGAGCTTTAGCCATCCTTACTACCCTGAAGGATCTAGCAATAACAATGGCATAATGGTGTAAGATTCTTGAAAATTTAGTGGATTTAGTTCTGATTTTCTCAGCATATACACAGCATTTAGTGCTATGTAACACGAACATTTATTGGTTGGCTTAATGGTTGAATGACTGAATGTTAGAAGTTCAAAATCCAAAATGCCTACTGTGCATTGGAGATGTTTTGAAGTCCAGTAGCTTTCTCGCTTCCATTTAATTGAGTGCTTTAGGCATCATTTATTACTCATACACTGAAGAAATGCTTAGCTCACATGGTTCTCCCACCGCATGAAGGGGTTAATTAGCTGAGTTTTCAGAGAAGTCATCTGACTGTCAGGCTAGTCCAGGTACATTCACGGAGGCATTCCCAGTGGGCAAAGAGCCTGGGAGAGCATAGCACTGTGCTGTGACCTGGTTTTCCCCTTGGAATCAGGTCCTGTCTCCTGGGCCTATCTCTGCCTCTTCCCTTGGCAGTTCCGTTGTCACTGACCTTTCTCTCTGTGCCAGCAGCTGCTGCTGACAGTCAGGCCTCAGTTTCCTCTGTGAAGCCAGTGTATAGCGTCTGCTTTTGAATTCCTACTCCTCCCTTAGGAGCTCAGGGCTGCTCACAATTGAATATTTTAGATCTTCCAACCTCTTTCCCCACTAGTAATATTTACCAATCTAGTGTCTAGTTCTTGTGGGGTCCTGGTGTGGATGAACGAATTTTATGCTAACTGGGGGCTTTCTCAAGACAAATATAAGGAGTTAATTAATAATATATGTAGTGTTATAGCAAAATGCCAGGACTTTAAATCCAGACAATCCTGGCTGTGAATCACTAGTCTTTAATTTGACGAGTGTGTGATTTGAGACAGTTGCTCAACCTTCCTTGAAAATGGTTTCCCCAACTAAAAAGATGGATGGAATGACTATCTTTGAAAGTGGCTGTAAGGATGAATAAGGTAACATACACAACGAGACCTTGCAGTAATTGTTATATTGTAGAAGCTTCAGAGGATAGTACTTATATGAGAGACCAAAGAAAAATACCTGTGTGCCTTTTCTCCACTTCACCAGTCACTCTACATGGGCTTAGGAGGAGGAAGATTAAGGCAGACAGACAGACAACCTTTCCCCTAATTTAGGAAGGTACACTCCAGGTTCTACCAGGTCAGAGCTTTCCGATTTCTATGACGTTATTTTGTAAGCCAGTGCTTCAGCGTACTGAAGAACAGTGCCTTAGAGAACTAAGCGAGTTAATAGATTTTCCTTAAATTGGAGCAATTTTCTTCTCCTTTATTGAATCAAGAAATCTGTCAAAGATGCATAGAATGGTGTAGATAATACCCCAAGGTAACAAACTCTATTATGCTGTATTCCATTAGAGCTGAGCCAAGGGTATTTTGGAAGGAAATTTCACTGTGAAATAAGGGGGTTTACAGGTGAAACTTGATAGTGTGTTTTTCTCCAGGTTGTTCACCTTGTATCTTAGTAGCATTGTCCCAGATGGACATATCCCAGGTTCACTTTTTCCTCTAGAATCTAGTGTTAACACTAAATTCGAGATTATCTTTGAAGTAAACATTAAAGTGAACAGAGAAATATTCAACTTCCCTTGGAAGGAGCATTTCAATTGCCTTATCATTTTCCCCCCTCCATTTGTGTAAGCCAGAGTCACCAGTATCTTTACCATAAATAAGCGGGCAGGTGACTTTGCAGCTGCTCCTGAGTACCAGCCAAATCTTCTTCAGAAGTTATACTCTCTTCTGACTCATAACAACTAAGACTCAACTGTTCTTTCTATGAATGCTGTCATAAGTTTTATAAAAGCAAATATATACCTTATTTACTAGCCATGTCCCTACATTTTTTTATTGATATCTATATTTTAGCATTAGGAGTATATATTAAAATTGCTCAATGCTAGGTAAAAATACATATCTTCATGGTAGAGTTGGGAAGATTCCAGTTACTTTAAGAAATAGACTTGTGCCTAAATAACCAAACCAATCTCAAATTGCATAGTTTGATTATGTGCATTCTAAAAGCAGTGTCTCACTGGAATTTTATCCCCATCGAATAAAAGGTAGACTATTTGTCTAGAAGAAATTGTGGAAGTCACAGAAAAGTTTTGTTTTCATTGATGAAGAATGAAGAAACGGAGGTCCTGAGAGTTTCTGATTGTACACTGTGATCAGCTAGCTAAAGGAAGGCTGGTGTCTAGGGTTCTTGGTTTCTGACCCTGCGTGCTTTCTAAAACACTGTGGTTATTAGATGATATTGTGGCTAGCTTTAAAAGAACGTGGTGAGCTTTTACTGTTTTGAAGTAAAGTAGTGGCCTACATAGTACTACAAACTATTTCCTAGAGTGAAATTCAATTGTGTAAGTTTTAAGATACAGTATTGGTTGAAGTATAGGGAAATTAGAAATTTTCCAATAATATAAAATCTTGAAGACCAGAGCCTGAACACAATGCTATGGATTTAAGCTTAATTCTATCAGAGACTCTAAATAGAAAGGTATTGCTGAAAGGGCCCCAAAAGACCTTTGTTGTTTAGATAAGGAACAAGGAAACAGGGCCCCAGAAAACTCAAATGACTTGTTCAAGTTCATTCAGCCACTTAGTGTCTGTGGACCAGAACTTAGATTCCTTCTCTCCCAGAAGAGTGCTAACCCACCACGGTATCTCATCAGGTGAAAAAAAGGGGAAGGAATGGTTTCCTTTGATCTATATTGACTTTACAGTTCAGAACAAAATCTGCTCTCTAAAGTCAGGAATAGCTCACTGTATTTACTCTAAATAGGTAGCTTTTCCTTACAGTTACTACATTATTATCATGTTGTATTTTTTGGAGAGAAGAAGGGTGTTATGGGTGATTTATGTTTCCCAAAAAGATACGCTGAAGCCCTAATCTCCAATATCTCAGAATGTGACCTTATTCGGGAAAGGGTCATTGCAGATGTAATTAGTTCATATAAGATCATACTGGAGTAGGGTGGGCCTTTCATCCAATATGATTGTGTCCTTATAAGAAGAGGAGAGACTCAGAGAGGAGAATGCCATATAAAGAAACGGAGATGTACCAGGAGAAGATGGCCATTAGATAGCAGAGGCAGAGATGCCAGTGATGCATCCACATGTCAAGGAAGGCCAAAGATTGCCAGCCACCACCACCAGAAGCAAGAAGAGGCAAGGAAAGATTTTCTTCTCCAGCTTCTGAAGGAACATGGCCCTGCCATGATTTCGGACTTCTAGCCTCCAGAACCGTGAGAGAATAAATTTCGGTTGTTTTCAGTCTCTGGTTTGAGGTGCTTTGCTAAGGCAGCCATAGGAAATGAACATAGGCGACAATGTTATGAGGCATTTATTGAGCTTTTCCTGGTCAGTCTGCTCAAGGCATTCATAAAAGCTCACCAGCCTCAGCCTGTGCCCACTGTTTCCATACCCA